CGTTTGTTACCTATTACTGTATTATTCTGGCATCGAAAACCAATAAACTCGAATAAAAGCCATGATACATTTATTTCATGGATGACTAGTATCCAGTCTCTAACATTACACCCAAAATACCATGTGACCCGTCACTAGCATCAAGTAGGACAGCCGTGATTTAAAAGTTTGAATGAGTTTGAGAGATTTCATTAAAATAACGTACACCTATGCATAGATGTTTTATTCCAAAAAAAGTAATTTTGATTCAGCCCACTTCACCATTTTATAACACTCAAATTCATATCAATTCACACAACGCACACCCATAAATGAATAACCTTTCCCAAGATTCTCCCAGAAAAGTTTTAAGAAACATCTGCTACAATCTAAATTAAGATTTGGCCCCTCGTTTAGTATTGATTCTTGACCGAGATTTACAAGAAGTGGAATTTAACAATTCTTAAAGGGTATGAACAAGACAAAACTGTTTTTTTTTCTCTTTCTTATGCTTGTAACCACTAAAAAATTCAGTTAACTATTCTACAGAAACTGGCACTTTACTAGATGCCTACATATTGGCTCTGTAACGTTTCTCTTAAGCAATAATTACATCCGTATAAATTTAAATGATTTCAAATCTAAAAAATTTATAACAGGGAAGATATTCAACCTATTTAATTGAGAAGATATCTACATATTCAAGTTCTGACTATTTACTACCAAGAAGGCTATTTATCTGATACATATGTATGCTTACACAAAATAATCTATTATTCTCTTTTTTTTTTCAGCTTTAAGAAGCATCAAAGTCACAAATTTTTGCATGTGAAGTGTCATTTACTTCCCTTTTTTAAATTTGGCATGTGAAGTGTCATCTAGTTCTTTTAAAATTTTTGCATGTGAAGTGTCATCTACTTCCTTTTTTAATTTTGCATGTGAAGTGTCATTTACTTCTTTTTAATTTTGCATGTGAAGTGTCATTACTTCCTTTTTTTTAATTTTGCATGTCAAGCTTCATCTACTTCCTGTTTTTTTAACATAAAATAGAGACTGTGTATACATATCCAAGGTACATACTGTAATGCAGACACACCCACTCCACTGCCACAAGATAGTTTTGTTTGTTTACTCTACCATTATGCAATAAATCCACGATTTAGTCTTTGATTTCAGCCATTCCGTTTCGTATTGTGCTTGTGCTAGCTTTTAAGCATATTTGTTTTTATAGCACTAAACAAAGGATGTTATCTTATCAATACAGTTGTTTATACAACACTTAAACGAACTAAGGACATGCTGAACAACGCATTATCTTCATACTCAAACCTATAACGTGTCTTCTCACTCCTACATCCACATGAAGTAAAGGCAATATTATGCCCATGTGTACTACATACAAATCTACTGCAATAATATTCACAACAGACTACATTCCTAGTAAAGGCGAAACTAGCAGTTTTGTGTCCACAACTGACCGTTGTAGCCGAGCTATCTTCCACATTCTATTGCATAATTATAATAATTTCCTAGCTGCAGAACCTAAATCATCACTTTTTTCCACCAGTTTCTTTACTAGGTTTTTTATTAACCTACTAAGAATACAATTACGTTTCCAATTTTACTAATTTTTTCCCCCCATTAATTTCTTTGAGTAAATAAAGTTTTTTGTTTTTTTTTGATGATGTACATTGAATTAAAAATTCTTAATGAACAGTTATACAAACAAGAAGCTATTTTATTATTATTGTCTTTTTTTAAAACCAATGTAGAAAGCTGTACAAGAAGCACTCCTAATATAGCACCGGTTCAAACCGATAGCTTTGACAAGTCTCAACCGTGCTGACTCGAGAGTAAAATACTCGTGTTTGATAACGTGCAGCGGAAGACTGGAAGTAAATGTGCTTTTCAGTACCTTCGAATAATTATTGTAAGTACATAATGATCGTAAAAAAGTATTTTGTGGAAATGCATTAACCAGTATAGACACACTTTTTATAAGGCTAGTTGAACCATGGATACGAACAGCTTGATCATATTGTCAAAATGCATTAACCAGTATAGACACACTTTTTATAAGGCTAGTTGAACCATGGATACGAACAGCTTGATCATATTGTCAAAATGCATTAACCAGTATAGACACACTTTTTATAAGGCTAGTTGAACCATGGATACGAACAGCTTGATCATATTATCTAAAAGTCATAAAACTGATTATCTTTTTGCTACTGTTGTCATAATTATATAAAATATTTTTCACACATTAATCAAATTGCATAAACCCAATGATCAATAACCTTTCATACGTGCTTGGAAATTAGCTATAATTCTAAAGAATTACTGAACTGTTATTGCTGTTCTTAAATTTGATATTCCTCTAATCTAAAAAAAAACACTGTGTATATAAACTCTCCAACACTATATATATATACAGGTATATGTGTGTGTGTGTGTGTACACGTAATAACACAAGAACACACCTGTATAGGCTGTACTTAGATGATTTTCTTCACCTGACAGTGTGGTAATTCAAGGTATGTTTCTCATCTTCTCTGAATCTAAGTAAAGAAAAAGAAAAGAGAGAAACAAATTATGAAATTTTAAAAAGGTTATCTTTGGATATAAAAAAAACATCTCTTTCTGTACAAGTTCATATGTTACAATGATTTCTCTCACAAGAAGTATTGCAATTTCTTACCCAAATCAGGGGCACAGGCATCATTGGGGAGGTGGGGGTCTACAGAATTTAATTGGATGGGGGGCTCTCAGCAGAGAGAGAGAGCAGAGGGAAGGTCCACTCAGAAAAACAATTAGGAAAATTTCAAGCCCTTGGGACCCAGAATATAACTTTTCATGGGGTCCCAAGTTGACTAATGCTGCCCATGAATCGGGGCACACATTAATAACATGTACTAAAAATAAACTACCAATAAATTTACATTTTTATATTTCTTAAGTCAGTTTGCTAGTTGTGCCGCTCCTGATTACATACGATACTACTCAACATACACTTTATTTAAACATTCTAACACTGATGAAACATTAACATACCCTTCTTTTCTGAGAGGTTCGGAAGATACTGTGTTCCCAGATAAGCTTTTTAAAAACGAATATAAATCATTAAAAATTCCGTTATTAGTTAGGCATGTTAATGTTTCAGTCAGTGTTTAGTTTACTCACTAAACAATTACAACAACAAATTCATAGTGAATATGAACATTTCTATATTAGCTTAAATCTAACCATTATTGCTACATAAATGAAACGAAGCACACCGTTTGGCTGCTTTAAAATCTAAAGCTTCTGGTTGAATTTAGTAGATCTAAAGCTTCTGGTTGAATTTAGTAGTTCTAAAGCTTCTGGTTGAATTTGGTAGTTCTAAAGCTTCTGGTTGAATTTAGTAGTTTTTAAAGCTTCTGGTTGAATTTAGTAGAGCATAGATCATGAGATTCAATACTAAGAACATGTGGTATTGGAAATAATTAAAGAAATGTATAAGTGATACATATACAGATGCCACAAACACTGAGTAATGTCAATTTCACATTAGTATAGCCCACTAGTACCTTGTACAACTCTAAACAGAACAGAACACCTTGTCTCTCTATGCTACCACAAGTTTATCCACCTATGATTGTTGAATATCATTCTAAATGTCTTATATTACATCCCACAATTCAGCTAAGTTATTTTGTTGCCCTTTGACCTTCCAAGTTTCCAGTTTGTCCATATAGTTTGAATAATATTCATATCAAGATTTTGTACATGCTAAGCCTTGGTTGCAAGTGTTTCATCAGCCTCTTTTTCCTTCCAGATACTGTTTCACTTACATCTGATGCATGCTTGGAATCACTATCTTGCTGGAAGATGAATCCCTGCT